AAGTCTATATATATATATATATATATATATATATATATATATATATATATATATATATATAATTATATATAATTCTGTTGTGATCTGTTGTGATCTATCCTGATGTATTTAACTTTTAAATGGCCTGGATGTCGGAGAATCTTCACAAATGCACAGTGTCATACTAAAACCAAATAACATCCTGTCAAACCATATGCAACATTTATTCTCGGAATATTTTAGTCCGCCTTCACATGCATTTTTGTCCAAGTGCCATATCTAAAAGAGTTTCCTCCCAGAAACCTTCCTGACAGCCCCAAACCAGCTGTGTGCTCCTTCCCCGATCTCCTCAACTGCTTTTGACATCCAGTTTGCCAGTGACCCGCAGCGGACGGACAGCGGGAACAGAGGGCACTTCAAAGAGAGCGAGGCTCGTATAAGAATGTGTTTGGAGGAGCGACGAGGATTGAATCTGTCATTGGGACGTCCGCTGAAGCAAGGGAGATCGGGAACACCTGGACGACAGTGACTTCAAACGCGCGAGAAACTGATGAGAAAAACCTGCCCACTTACCTAAAATATCAAGCCTGCTGTTCTTACCTGGTCAACAATTTGGTCTGCTTTGCTGATTTTTTTGGCAATTGTTATCTGTTTTTTAATACTTAAAGGAATAGTTTAACCAAAAAATTAATTTTGCTGAAATTTTACTCATCCTCAGGCCATCCAAGATGTAGATGAGTTTGTTTCTTCATCAGATTTGGAGAAGTGTAGCATTCCATCACTTGCTCAGCAATGGATGCTCTGCAGTGAATGGGTGCCGTCAGAATGAGAGTCCAAACAGCTGATAAAAACATCACAATAATCCGCAAGTAATCCACACCACTCTAGTCCATCAGTTAACATCTTGTGAAGAGAAAAGCTGCATGTTTGTAAAAAAAAACAAATCCATCATTAAGACGTTTTTAACTTTAGTTGCAAAAATACGAGTCCTCTAATCATAATATTGCTTTCTCCAGTGAAAAGTAATCTCGGCTGAATCAGGAGAGAAATACACACAGATCAAGCACCTTTTATAAATGAAAACAGTCAACAACAGCTAAACAAAAATGTGGGCAGATTTTGATGTGAGACAACAGGGGATGGACTTTTTCATCTACATTACATTTACATGTAGTCATTTAGCAGATGCTTTTATCCAAAGCGACTTACAAATGAGAACAATGGAAGCAATCAAAATCAACAAAAGAGCAATAATATACAAGTGCTATAACAAGTCTCAGTTAGCTTAACGCAGTACACGTAGCAAGGGTTTTTTAATTATATAATAAAAAGAAAACAAATATAATAGAAAAAGAATAGAGCAAGCTAGTGTTAGAGGCCCTTTTTGCTTTTGTTAATTGTATAATAAATAAAAGAAAACAAATAGATAGAATACAAAAAGATTAGAGAAGCTTTTTTTTGTTTTTTTTAAAAGAAAACAAGCAGTTAGAAAATGAATAGAGTGAAAGTCTAAAAGTCTTTTTAAACTTTTATTTTTAAAAGTGCAAGTCTTTTTCAATGGAGGAAACGTTATTATAGATTATGGACTCATATTTTGACCAAAAGCAAAAGCTTAAAGTTAAAATACCGTAATGGTGGATTTGTTTCTTACAAACATGCAGCTTTTCTCTTCACAAGATGTTAACTGATGGACTGGAGTGTTGTGGATTACTTGTGGACTATTGTGATGTTTTTATCAGCTGTTTGGCTCTCATTCTGACGGCACCCATTCACTGCAGAGCATCCATTGCTGAGCAAGAGATTTAATGCTACATTTCTCCAAATCTGTTGCCATTTAGAAACAAAACACATCTTGGATCTCTTCAGGGCGAGTAAATTTTTAGCAAATTTTCATTTTTGGATGAACTATTTCTTTAATTTTAAAGAAGATTTTCAGGTTGTAGATAAAGACTTCCTGTTCCTGCAGAAACACAATACTTTTTTTTTTCAGGATTCTTTGACAAGACATTATTTAAGCATTTATTTTAAAAAAAATAATCTTTTGTAATATTATAGATGTCTTTACTGACATTTCTGATGAATTTAATGCATCCCTAAAATTAATAATTCCTTAAATAGAAAAATAATAGAACTTTTGAACGGTAGTGAATACGTGATGAAACCTCATCAAAACCTCACCGTTTTTGAGTTTGGGGCACGAACATCTATTTGTTCAGGAAACCTGTCTGAAAATGGTCATTATTTCTGCTATTCTGCTAATGATGGATAAATTACACACAAAACTTGTGCAACAAACATTTGGTTTGACACCAAGTTACAACAATCTCCTTTACTGTGAGAAGCGAATGCCCTCTGCGTTTATCCATTAGTTGTTTCTCTGATAATGTTGTTGTGACTGACAGCTCAACACACCTCAGTGGCTGTCCACAAACTGTTCTCCATCTTCATTTGGCAGCTCAGACGTGTTCCCGGACACGGCATCCGCTTCACCTCCACCTGCCCCTTGGACAAGTTTACCACCGTGTAATTCCTGCAGGACACACACACACACACACATAGACACAGACAAACACACACAGACAGACAAACAGACACACAGACAAACACACACAGACACACACACAGACAGACACACAGACAGACAGACAGACAGACAGACACACACAAAGAAAGAAAACCCTTTTATGTGTCTGTGGAACACAGCAGTTATGAAATCCAATCTAGGTGATGCTTTTCTCTGGGTTATAATCATTACTAAAACTATTAAAAACATTTTTGTAAATGGAAAATAAAGCTGAAAATAAATAAATTAATTAATTAATAAATAAATATAAAAATAAATACATTAAAATAAAAATGTTATACTTTTAGAAACTTAAATGTTGAATGTTAGAAACTTGAAACTAAACAAAAATTATAAATATTGCCTTGTCAACTAACTGACATTTTTAACCGAGGTTTAAGTCAAAGCACTACAATTAAAAACAAAACAGGAAATAAATAAAAACTAAAACTTAAATAAAAAGTAATAATAATAATTTTAAAAATGTGAAGAAAATTTGAGTGGTGCTTTTCTTGGGGTTATTATTGTTTAGTAAAAATAAAACAATTAAAAACATTTTTGTTAATGTAATTAAAGCTGAAATAATATAAATATTAGACTTAAAATCTAAACATAAAATGGTCTTGAAACACTAAAAAAAACTAGACATAAATAAAAAACTAATACTGAACTAAACTGAAATAAAAATAAATTAAACCTAAATATTAATAAAAAACAAATGTGAAGAAAATGTGAGTGATGATTTTCTAAGGGTTAGATTAAAAACTTAAATTAAAATTAGAAATGCCACCTAAATGAAATAAGTTTAAGCTGAAGCACTAAAATTACAAACTGAAAATAAAAACAAAAACAGAACTAAAACTGAAATAATAATAATAATAATAATTAAAAAACACTAATAAAATGGAGAAAAGCACATAACAAAATGACTAAAAATGCAATTAAAATATAAAACTAAAATTGAGTCCTAGAAATATTACTTTTAAAATGTCTTGATATTTCCAACAGTAATAATGACAAGTGACGCCACTAATACACACAAGTATTGTTATTCCTGGCGGTTTTGTTCTTTTGTACAAACACAGTATGTGGTACAACCCCAAATGATTTCAGACCAGCACATGATTTATGACGAGTCTTTAATCTAAACATGTATTATACATTGCGCTGTTATGCAGGAGTGCGGCTCTCAGCAGTGTGGGCTGGTATGCAGGTTTATATATTCTGCCAATTCATTTGCTGAACAGTGATTCATTACTTGATCAGAGGAGTCATTTATCTGACGGTGCGCTGTGACAGCACACAAATGATTCAATCCGTCACAAACCACGGACGCTTCTGATCCAAATACTCTAGTAAGCTGTTTATTGTGCTTTCATTTTTTTCCTTTTTGCTTATGAAGCCTCAATAATCTAATTGGCAACGTCAAACTTGGACAAATAAAGACTGCGGCGATAAAGCGATTCGGGCCGACCTCACGCTAATGTACTTAAAATATAATTTACAGGATATTGCTGGTAGGCCATCTGATGATCAAGGGGGCCATCAGATCGCAAATCCCACATCAAGCTTTTACTGCCTGCTTTGTGCCAATTATTTGATGTCTTGTTTGCTTCCCTGCTGAAAAGAAAATAGCTTAAATCAGTCTGAATTAGTTTTGTCTTCTGGACTGGCTAGAAAGCCTATTCGCTGGTTTTAAAGGGGTTTTGGGCACTTTTCAGCTAAACACCAGCTCGGCCAGGATGGGAGACCATTTTAAACCAATTAAGACCAGAAAAACATTGGTTTGGTCTCCCAGTCTGGTCATTTTTAGGCAGTTTTTGGCACTTTTTAGCTGGTCAGGCTGCTTCACAAAGATGAGAGATCAAATGAAACCAGCTAAAACCATTTTAAACCTCTCTTTTTACCAATCAGTTTTCATGACCGCTCCAGTTGGTTGTGATTACAGGATAAGGATTTTTTTCTACATAAACACCT